GGCACTTTCGATTAACTACTTTTTTTATTTTTTATCGATTTATAATATAATATTATATATAAAAGTCAACCGCAATAGCGACACTATCGCTAATATATCTTTGTGAATCAGTGTCGGTGTCGGTGTCGGTGTCGGTGTCGGTGTCGGTGTCGGTGTCGGTGTCGGTGTCGGTATCGGTATCGGTGTCGGGCGTCGGTGTCGGTGAGAGCGCGGGGAATACGATTTAATTTGTTTTCCAATAACTGCATTAATAAAATCTATATCAGCTTCTCGCAATTTCAACTCGCAACCATTTTAAATTGCGGAGAGAATTGCTTTGTTATTGTTAGCGGAGGCGAGGCTTATAGCATTTGTTTTACGTTTATCGCACGCCATCCAACGCCGAAATCGATCTCCGGCCGGATTTGCGCTACTTGCAACAACCATAAGCATTCCAAGGTTAAGTGTAACACCCATATGCCGTCCCGAGTTGCTTCCCGCCCAGAACCTAGTTATCATTAATAATACTGACATCGACAAAAGTCATGTGCACTTATATTAACTTATTTTGTTTTAATAAATGTTATTTAAAATAAGTACTTTTCATCGGATTTAAAATGTTAATATAAAATTATGTTATGCTTATAGTAAGAACTAGCGCCAGCTTCACGTACTCGGTTAGAAGCGCCATTTACAAGTAGTTTAAATATTCAAGCGGAGTAACGCAGCTTATTTAATATATTATCGGCGCGGACTTCGCACTTGCTCTTATAATAATAAATTTAGGCTATCGAGTGGCTGAGTCAAACACTCGAGACTAATTCTCATATCTAGGACTGATTCAGAACTGAGTAATGTGTGCTGTGGCCGCGGCCGCAGGGCAGGCGCGCGACACGCGCAGGGTGGGACACGCGCAGGCCGCATAATCTCCAAAACCAACGCAATGCCACGTGATGACGAGACACGCCATAGAAGTCCGCACTAACCGACATGAAAAAAAACTGCAAACTTTTACGAACTCTGGAAGACATTTTAAAAGTGGTTAAAGAAAATTGCATGATCCTGTTTAGTAAATAATTTTCTAAATGTTATAAACCTTGATTTAGTACATACTATTTTTGTTCATAAACAGTGTCCCACTCCCGGCGCCGCCATCTCCTTGGTGATCCTCACTCGCGGTCGGAATTAAATAACTAAAAAGTAACATGTAACATTTAAGCAATCCATTAGCTTATTTAACAAATTTCATTTGTACTATAAATTACAATAATTGCGTCTTTATCACTTTAATCATAAAACTAATATTGAATTTGAATATTGGAAAAAAGCCAGCAGTCGGTTTATACAAAACTAAACCATTGCTAACATAAATATCGCTTTTTACTTTTGATCATATAAGAAGTTACAATATTTCTTATTCCATTTTTTTACATTTCCTTTAGTACAGATAATATTATCATGACGTCAGAACCGTGCCTGTGAATACAACAGTCTCGCGGGAAATCCGATCTCAAGCTAAATACAAATATAAGTAAATATTATCGCACTACAACTTACATAAGAATTTATTTTGAAGAAGCGAGTATTTTCCTTAGAATTTTGCTTTTACTATAACAAATACTATTAGTATTAGTACTGAGACAAAATATAGTTGCAGATGGACGGAGTTCACATGTGAGCCTCGTTCCCACGGGGAAGTGACAACTGCAAATACAAACACTCAAAGCTGCAACTAATGATGTCGACGGCGCCACTGGCCGCGTCCGCTGCGCCTGCCGCGCCGCGCTCAGTTTGCGACCACCCTTATCATTCATGTCCCTTGACTGCCGTCTGCACACTGAGGACATCGGCCACACTGTACCCTTTTTTTTAACCCTGACTTTTATTATAACCGACAGACTGTCGCCCGCCACTCCGTACGCGCGGTATTAAAAAAAAACTTATTTCGTAGTCTATGTATTCTTCCACACTATGTTTTAGATACCATTAAACAAACATCTGTCTATCCATCCATCCATAAAACATTCTCATTTATAGTATTTGTAAGATGTCCTCTGCTAGGTCAGATAATCAAGTCACGTCGGGCGCGCTAACTCACTTTAGTCATTCGGACAGTCTTTGCCGCGACTCAGTCCCGATATAGTCGCTAAGTAAACCCAAGCATTAATAGCTCATAAACCGTCGCCCACATAATTACAACTCCGCGATAACGCAATAGAGTTGTGGATTGGTAACACGTAGCTGTGGTGAGGTGCACTCGCTCGCCGCTCGTTGCACTTCTGCGAGCGTTGCTATGCCCTTAGCTTCACTGTGCCCTACTCTCCGTCGCCGCCTCACCGCCGCGCCGCATATCTCAATCCGACACCAACACTTCACTTGTAAGTCGTTGGTATACTCCTACACATACTTATTAACAAAAGTGTTAAAGATTAATACGATATCCATTGAAGGCACAACATGTTTAACTGAACTGCATAAGAAACACGCATGATTAAAGACATTATCAATTTTGTACTTGAAGTGCATAGCTTACAGCTTTCTGACAGATGTGTTCTTGTTTCCCAAACTGTAGTAAATACAGTTTGTGAGGTCGAGGCAGGACAGCAACCCGCCGCCGCCGGCAAAATCTCAGCAGCGAGCGTACCCACACAAAGCTAGTCTGTGTCCTTAATAGATCGTCTCTTTGACTATTCAAATGCTTTATACTTGTTTGAGCGTATGTATTTGGTTATAGTTATATGATGAGGGAGCCTTGCGCAGCGGCTGAATGTAGTGTTGGGCAGGCCACGGCTTCTGGTACGCAGATAAACCTGACCACGCGACTCGCACGCGGCGCACACGCGGCGCAGTACATTTAGACGTCAACGAGGCGAGACCTTTAATTAAAACCTTCTGAATTGTTACATTCAAACATTTTTAAATAATTCTAAATATTAAATTTTAATTTTAGAACAGACTTAAATAAAGTGTTTTTCTAAACCGTACGGCCTTGTTAACAGTGGAATTGTCTCCCCTGAGCCTAGTGCCTAATGTGTTGTGCCTAGTACGTAGTATTCGAGCGCGCACACGGGAGCGTCTCATGAGAGCCTTGTATCGTGGAATGCGTCACGTTGTATTAGAGCGAAGAAGAGCTCCTAGGATTTTTTATTTTATTCAACATTACTACGTTACAATAACATACAACATATAATTGACATACAACCTCGCTGGTGAAGTAACAACTCCATTACTAAATATACGTATACGTAGAGTAAAGGATTGTGATAAAACACGTAGCTTCACATTTTATTTGTTGTTAAATAATAGCATGAATGTTATCTACATGTTTATTTGTAAATAAATTTAGTCAGATTTACGAAAATAAAGCATAAGTTAAATGTATTAACCACGTGTTCTATTCGCCGGCCAAATTGTGGAAATAAACTGCTCCATCAGTTTACGTCCGTATTTTATTGTCCTGTTGTGGCGCATCTGACACAAGCCCTGCCATATCCTATCGCAACAGGAATTTGGCAACACTTCAAGTTAAAAGGATTTCATAATTCGTGCAACGTTGTAGGTACGTTGAAGGTATATTTGGATCGCAGAAGGATTACGTTTATGCCTGCCGAGCTACTTGCAACACGTAACAAACTACATACTAATTTTATCGATCAATCGTTCACCAAAACTTTCCGTTGATGTAAACATGTCGGCTCTGTTTTTGTGTTAACTATGACGTGCAGAGAGCCGTGATTGCTACTTAGCGTTGGCGATCGTGTTTGTTTGAATCTGCGTATCTTCACACTTATAGGAAACAGGTGTTTTACATTTTCTCGTGCGATGAAATTTACTAATAATCAATGAAGCCGGTGCCGGCTATCTAATTACCTCTCCCTTTGTTAAAGTGAGAATATCAGCTTCAAAACAATTTTATCAAATGCGGCAACAGAAAGAATGAGTAAAAGAAAGATATTTATAGTATAAGTTCTGCTAGAGTAGTATTGAGGTTTGCTGAGATATGATCAGCGCAAACAAACAAACAATCAAACAAAGGCAGTTGCCGGCAGATCGACGCCACGGCCACAGCCGTGCTGAATCTTGATTCAGGAATTATTCAGCCAATTGAGGCTTGTTAAAGTGCATTCAATCCAATCTGTCGCAAACAGATTTCATTTGTTGACGAGCGGCCACGTTTATTGACAATGAAGGTGCAAAGCCGTTTCGCCTCAGTTCCTATTAGATCTGTACTTAAGTACATCTACAACGACCGTAATTCATAAATAATGAACGCGAGACCTTACCTTGTATCTTTGATTAACCTATAAGACAATTAATAAACATAATAAAAATCCCATAGATTTAGCTTAAATTGTAATCACAAACTGTGCATCACATTTCTGTCACTTCTTTTTTACCTTCCCTATGATTTGTATGTTTAGTGTATGTGTAGAGACGGAAGTGAGACAGTCCTCGCTTGTCAAGACATTAGGGCCATACTGCTCCGTAGAATTCTCAAGTGACGCAACGCTGCCGCAGGCAGTCTACTAGGAGGTGAGGAGAAAGCGTTAAATAATATGTTGCAATAGCGAGCGGCCCGCAATATTGAAGAAAACGTGCAAACGAGTGTGGTAAGCAGGTTTGTGAGGACCACACAAAGTGGAAATCCGCAATTTTGACCAGTCATCTGGGTCATGTGACTTACTTTTATAAATTTCTGTTTTAATATCGAAGCCAGGCCTCATCCGGCATGTTTATGTAACTAGTATTATTAATGTGTTACGGTGGTTTGGGTGCGATCTTTATTTGTTTACTAAGCTATTTCCTGTTGAGTTCTCGCAAGCAGGCAGCCAGGCCGAGCCGGCCACGTCGGCACCGCAGTCGGGCGGCTTACGTTGGCCGTGCATCCAAGCCAAGTCTTATTGGTCATACGGCTAGTGTCAGCGACCGGCTTCGGATCAGCTCAAGCTCACATAATTTATTATTAGATACATAATTTTTTTATCCAGCCGCACCGCACCGCACCGCACCGCACCGCACCGCACCGCACCGCACCGCCTCACACCTCACACGCCACAGAGCACGAGGTCGCCGTCCCATCGTCGACATCATCATTCAAACACGCCGAATGTTTCACTCTGACTCGATTGCTATTTTATTGATAATGAAACATTCCATTGCACACATGTCTTGTTAGTTTGGGCTTTAATATGATTTTGTTTGACTTCGTATAATATTATAATTTTTTTTTTAATTTCAGATGCATCGGGACAGAGCGGGGACTGTACTGTGCAATCGCGCCGCGTGATGTGTTGTTAATGTATATCTATAATAAACATACGATCATCTTCTTGCATAAAATCCACTTCGTCTAATTGTTGACCAGATTATTACACTTATAAAATTATTCATTTTTAGTACAATTTATACAAAGTAGTAGTTATTCATTCATTGCAGGCGCCCGCCTCGCTTTTAAAGATCAATAAAATCGTATTAAAATAATTTTTATGTGTATGTCGGGAATGTATGTACAAAAGAAGCGTGGCGTGAGAGGGGCGTCCCGGGCTTCGGCGTCCGGCGTCCGGCGTCCGGCATCCCGACGTCCCGGCGGCAGGTTACGACTCTAAACGACGATCTCGCTGTAAATAAATATAAAATGAATATTTACGCCCAGCCTAATGACGCACGTATAAATACAGATCTCATTGGACGTTTTAACAACATCTATTTGTAGCTCAAACTTCAAAAAAGTATTTCCCTAATGGTAATCATATAAAGTTAATTATTACGCTCTCTCACACTGATAGAAACTAGCGAGCGAGCCACGGCCAGCACCAGAAGAGCAGCAAGCTGCATTCCAGTCGCCTGCCTGCACTCGCCATCCCCACTAGACGCACGGCGCGCGGCGCGCGGCTCAGCTCTGACCTGGTCCGTTGCACATCGCACAACGAACTCTGCGACTGCTAATAGAAATACAATGTCGAGTTACTTCGATGACTACTACCTTACTTCTATCGCTCCACAATATCTTTGCATTCCGCTCCTATTTAATGCCAATTAAAATGTTCAATGAAACATGTCGTTCCCTTATAGGGCGGAACGGTCGACTCGCTGCGTTTTTGTGAGTGAGATACATGGCCGGCCTTGTAGGGGAAGTCAGACTCGATATGTGCGGGTGCGGGTTGCGCGGTGCGGGGTGCGAAGTGCGGGGGGAGGCTCGGATGCCTGACACATGATAGCGCTCACCTTACCGGGACTTCAGCAGAACTATAATAAAAGTATTTTATAGGAAACGAGCAGGCGGTTCGCCTTGTGTGCAGTAATCGATACGGTATCATTGTAGATGACGACACGACCACAAGTATCACAATACGAGTATATATCATAAATTGCAATAAGTAATATTGCATCGTCTGCATTGTTAACTCAATTTCAATAAAAAATTAAATGAGATATTTAAACTAATATAACTTGATAATAATGTACACACTCATTGATGTCTGATGGTGAATACTGAGTAATGAGAGCACGACGGTACTGCTGAGGCAGCGACATGCGACATCATGTACAGCGGCGGCAGGGGGTCGCGGGCACGGTGCGGGTACCGTTAGCACAACAGTAGCGCGCGCGGTGACCGTGTCAGCGCTCAGTGCCGCGCTGTGCCGCACTGTGCCGCGCCGCTGCCTCGGATAACCATACACCACTCTTAATGTCCTTGCCACCAGAACACAACTGTACCATTTGCTATTATTTCTCTTACCGTTAACATATTATTTACGAACATTAACAACAAATATATTTAGATCAGCTTAGTCGAGCTGAACTGTCAACGAACCGTAGCTAGAGTATATTCCTGACAATCTATCTTAGCGACTGTTACGACTGTTTGTCGTCTATCCTTATTAGTAAGTGTTGGCATACCGGTAGCCGTGCTCGTCCGCTCCGCGCTCGGCTGCACTGCACTGACCATAATGAACAACATTAATTAGTAATCGCCTCGCAAGGTAAAAAATTCTCAGGCAAAATTCCGAGAATGCCAGATCTTTTTCTTCAGTTGCGGCCTTTGTACTCGTATTATAAAGTTTAGAAGCGGCAGCTCGGTTCCATGGAACGCTACAAAATACTTTGTAACACTTTATTCTATAATTCCCAGAAATAACTGTTGTGTATTACTAAAACTAAAATATCTTAGTATTTTTCAATGGTGTGATTACAAAGAAGCAGGGTTTGTTTAACGTCCTACTCTAGTTTCAACACGGTTACAGTAAACAGTTGCCCCGCAAACGATCAACGATTTCTAAACGGCGCACGAAAGATGTTCCATGCGGAGGGAAACAGATATCTGTATATATTTTTATTATAATATTATTTTTATGAATTTAAGGTAATTGTTTATTTATGATCTGTGTAGGTTTACGCAACAAGAAGATAACATAGTTTCTACTGTGTCGCTTGTGTCGCTTGTGTCGCTTGTGCCGCTTGTGTCGCTTGTGCCGCTTGTGTCGCTTGTGTCGCTTGTGTCGCTTGTGCCGCTTGTGTCGCTTGTGTCGCTTGTGTCGCTTGTGTCGCTTGTGTCGCTTGTGTCGCTTGTGTCGCTTGTGCCGCTTGTGTCGCTTGTGTCGCTTGTGTCGCTATGAAAGGGGCGGCAATGTGGAGCGCGTGCTTGTCGTCGGCTATACTTGTATGAGTTTGAGGATGCGCACATACAAGACGAACCCCAGATTTGTTTTTAACTTAAACTATGTGGATCGAAAATACTGGCACAGCTACACTGAGCTGGTCGATGGCACCTTCTTGCACTACATCAAATTTACAATGTCTCAATAAATATCGAGATATCTGTAGTTTAAATATAACTGTGATGTCATCACCAGATAACCTACAGCTGTCATCAGGGCCGACGCGGGGAGCGGGCGGGGGCGGGGGCGCGGCCAGATTAGGGCACTTGGTATGCACCCTCCCTTATCTCATTGAACCCGCAAGAGGGCCATTGTTATACGGCCGAGCCGCGCCGCGCTATTATGCGCCGAGTCCCGAAATCAATTCCCAACCGAATCATAATGTAAATAGATTATTCTAATTGCATTTGATTAAAAACTTTATATCATGTATTTAATAACGGTAATCATATTATTACAATGTACATGAGTATTCAGCTGATGATGCCGGCAGTGCGTCAGGTGCGGCCTCTGGTGGCAGCCGCCCTCGCTGATCACTTCCTGGTGCGGCTGTACTCCGGCGCCGGCGCGCTGCAGCAACACGCGGCTCGCGGCGCGCGGCGCGCCTGCAAATGACTGCACTTACTGCGCCGCACCGGAACACATTAAATCCATGTTGTTTATGCAAATGCATTTATATTCATTGCAATCAACATTGTAATTGGCGCAATCTGATCGCATACGAATTATCCTGTGTATATAAATAGTTCGTCATTCATCTCTCAATGAATATCGATGTACTCACGGTGCTCGATACTAACCTTCTGTTGTCCGATCATTAGTACGCTGTGTAGGGAAGCAGAGGCGGCCTCATGATAATTCATTACACAAGTGCATACTAAATTACACATTAATCTGTATGTAACATTAGTTTCATTCTTTTCTCGGAAACAATAATCCTACATCCCCCCCGGCCACGCCCCACTGCAGAGACGAGTCATAGTAGACAACAAAACAATTTGTATTGTTCTTGCAGCTCTAGTGTTGTTAATTATGCATTCTCTATGTAATGCATGCAGCAGAGCATAAACGTTCATCGCAATATCACCATTCAAATGGAATCTGCGGCGATTGTCATAATGCAATAATATGCAGCGCAGCGGCACAGTGTAGCCGAATGCAGCGTGCTGTGTGTGCAGCGTGCAGCGTGCAGCGTGCAGCGTGCAGCGTGCATCATATCTACGTAAATATTCAGTAAGACTGCAGGCTGCAAACAACAGCATATTGTGGAAATTGTTATTCTGATAAAGTAAACATATTTTTATACAGAATTTAATAAACTGTATAACAAGTACCTACAAATAAATATAAATTAAAAATAACTTGTATTTTTATCTATAACTTTGTTTTTTATCGCCTCCTTTTGGCACAAGAATTATTATGCTGAATGAACGATGTCAACTCTTCCTCCTTTCACATTGTTTGTATTCTTAGTGCAGTTATCTCTTGAGGGTTTCTTTTGCAGACACAATAAGGCAGAGTATAATTAAATTCAGTTAAGGAACATGTGATCATTATCATGCCTGATTAGATGCGAGCAATTAAACCGATTTATAGTTTAAAGTGAGTTAAAAGAGCGTCGGAGGCGTAGAGGTTAAGCACTTGACTCGTATTATATAAGTTCGATACACGCTATGTACCAATGTGTTTTTTCGATTTTTAAAATACAAAAAATATGTGTTGAAGTGAACTTGTCCGCACCGGGCCAGAGTGGTTGCCTAAGGCTTAGTTACGCCAACATAGCTTACTGTGGAGAGCCCCACCCCACCCTCTGAAGACGGGCATGGGCTACACCACCTCGATATTGTCAATGTAAGCCTAGCGTGGTGACGGAATGCGTCTGCCACACTCGTAGTATGTAAATGAATCTGTTCTCAGCTCTGCGTCACGATACTTTCACTTTGATACATTCAACAAAATTAGTGATAAGGATTAAGTGGTTATGTACATAAGTAACATGTTCATTTTAGTTAAATCAAATAAACTACAAACTAGTTACTAGTACAAAGAAGGCATATACGGAATAAAACAAAAATGTCGCAACCCGCGTCACCGCTGCAGCTGCCGGGTGCCCTTGATTCATGAGAAAGTTAGTATTGAGCTTGTTGAAATGCGCATTTAAAATACCGTCACTGCATCAATGTTATCGCTAAATTGATGTCCTGTGCTCAGTCTGATAATGAAATCGACCCGCGGGAGTTTGATTTTAAATTGAAATCGTGTCCGCACCGCTAAGGGCGCTGCTGTGAATACAGTTTAGTCTAACGCTCAACAAATGTTGACCTTTCAAATAGATACACATGCGATTACAAAGAGAATATGTACTTTTGTGCAGTTGCCATGGAGTACCTATAATAAAAATATATTTGTGAAGTATCCCGCGGAGTACTTTAATGTCAACTTGGCCGGGGAGAGACGTGTCCTTGCTGTTTCACTTGTATCCAGCATTCTGTATCTGTATTCAATGCATATTGGTTATGAAATTTTTGTTTTACCTCGTGTGGCTTCTTACTTGTAATTTGCTGAAGCATGAAATGTTAGTTAATCATAAATTTCGAGTATGTTGCAACCTTTTAACCTGTAAAATTGTTTATATTGTATGTAGGTAACAAAACACGTAAAATAATAATTGCATAACAAAGCATTCGACTCGAGTTTGCATCGAACTGAATTATAATGTAGTCACATCGTGATAGAGTGATGTTTGTCAATAATTATTATACAATTATAATATATGAGCATTTTCTAAATACTTTATCGCACGTAATGATTGTCTGACAATCGGTAAATAATCTTATTTTTGGTCCATTCACTTCTGGTACAAACTAAATGTATTTTAATTCCAGTTGATGATCTGGCGCTTTACTCTCCTTTATTATGTTAAACATACATCTGTTGCGTGACTACACGATGTTTTACTCAGAAAGGCAACATTGCAGATCGAGTCGCGGCATTTTGAGCGTGCCGTGTGGAAGTGTGTGCCTGCCGGCCGTCACGTCCGGGCCCCGACGGCCGCTGTGACGTCACCGCACACAACACTCGTCTCTCCACCACAGGCATAGATAAAATTCACTAAATTATGTGTTTCGAGTCGAGAGTCGAGTCTCTAGTCTCTAGTCTCGTGTCGGCCGTGTCACTGATAACGGCCACAAGACGTTGCCTTCCGACGCGACGCACACAATTACGGCCGCTGTGTGGAATGTTCCTGATTACAATACCATTATACACTTTTTGATAATTATAGTAAATGTTCCGAAAGGAGTCCTCGTGACGGTAAATCTGTACGAATTGTAATATTACTACAACTATTTCACGACACAAAGAATAAGAGCTTTTTCTTTCTTTATTACGAACGGCGCGAACGTACACTTTACCATTTAAAGTAGGTAATATCTACGTTTGGTAGGTATTTAAATATAAATTAAGCAATTGATTGAGTTACGGCGTTGAAATTCCACGGGCGACAACTTTGGCAAGATTATTGTTGACCAGTAGAGCGCATTGAGCCGGCGCGGCGGGGCCACTTGGAAGTACCTGCCTGCCTCGTGTCGTGTTCAATGGTATTTAAGAAATGTGGCTTGGCTTGTGCGGAGAGCGGAGTGCCTCTGCGATACTGCACTATCTATCATTTTCTTTAGTTTCACTCCTTTCAACACAAGCAAATATAACAAATGTTGGTATTTAATTTGCACCGCAGTTCAGCAACCGACCGCTAATATCTCCGCGTATTCAACACTCCGGAAGTAACAGCTCGAATATTATTGATTTATAATGTTTATACTGTCGCCTCGCGACATGGAATTAATTACGTAAAGTGTAACAACATACAAGCAGACACCAGCTTTTTAATGTTTGTCTATATTTTTTTTTATCGAGAAGTGTCTGCGCGGCGGTTCATGTTTATCCGTTGCTTCCGCAGAAAGCTGGCGACAATGGAATTAGTGCGATTCTTTGAAAGGTACAACAGTGTGGCCATTTTCTCGGTAAACACCAGTTTGAATAGCACAGTTGTGCTATACACTAACATCTGTTTTCAAAATTATAATACGTCATTACAAATAAAGACCCCGAGATCGAGGTCCTGTGACAGAAGTACCTATGCCGAACCTGTTTGACAGAAAATATACAATGAAGTAGGTACATATGTTCATGCGCCCACACGCCCACACGCCACACGATACCGCTATTATAATAATTATGGGCTATGAGAGTTTGTGCTCGCATTCGGTGTGACAGTGTAGGTACTGGAAGTTACGAACTAACGGATGTTTTCATTGGCACGCTGTTGAAATATCTTCTTACTTGGAAAATAAACTTGTTGGCCCGCGTGAGCAAAATCGGTAATGTTTATGTTCCCGACGAATTGTTCACTTCGTCAGTTTATAATCTCACTATCCATACTTTTAAATATCGGTGGATTGTCAAGTAATGGAGTCATTAAAAATTCAATGCGTTATCGACAGTCGAAGTTAAAATTAACTACAAAATATAGGTTAATGAGTAAACACTGCATTGGCTCTAGGTGCAATAAAACTAGGAAAAACATCATATGATTTACTCGTGTTTTATAGATGTGTGTGCGGTGGCGGCGGCACTTCCTGTACTCTGCCACTGGCCAGCAATTAATGTACTGCTACATACACTCCCACACACTTTTACATACTTAACGAACAAACCGCATAAAATAGTTCAACGTCTGTATTTTCCGGGACGTAGGCAATTAACTACTCTTGGTCTTGAGCCAATTTCGAAAAAAACCCGCCGCAAACTGGATTTAACGACGCCTCTACTTATACTAATCAAAGCGGCCGTAAAAAGCGGCAAAGATACGCAACATGTAGCCACTAGTCATCTGGTATCGGACTCGTGAGTCGTTACCGTTGAGCTGTTGTGGACGTACAGTGTACCAGCGCGGCGCCGGCGGTCAGAGGCGGCCCGACACTACCCGCCGCCGCCAGATGCCGCGCGAACATATTATAGATCAGATAAAAGGCAATTTAGAAAACATTATCGTCTATAAATCTACTCGAGTTATAACTGATTTACAGCTGCACTCTATTTATAATGCGGCAACAATACATACATACATTTATACTTGCACATTATGGATGTTATTAAATGAAAAAACAAGTCATCTTACACAAGAGACGGTACATTTAATTTACATGTATGTATGTATGTATGTATGTATGTATGTATAGGTAACTTGAGATGGCAATGTAGTTAAACATCACCCTCAAAGATCGCTCCCTCAGGAACAAATTCAAGCGTACAAAACGGCAGGCCAAATGACAGAGCGCGGGGTGGAGGAGGGGAGGCGGAGGAGGGGAGGCCACTGTGCGTTACACTTCCGATCAATTCGATGAAATTACCATTTATAAAGCAGTTCGTTACATATATATATTATTCTTTTGTCATTTGTGCAATAATAAATATGCAAAATAATATTGATTTGTTTTGATTTGACGCATACTATGGTCATTCATATTAATCACAATTTTATTTTAGTATATTTGAATTTGTATCTCTTGTTTTTATTTAGCTGATGATTGTG